CCTACAGGCAGGCAGGTAGTTTTCCCAGGCACTTCACGTGCAGGCAGTTCGGCAGTTGTAGTCTTCAGGATTCGGGAGCAGCACTCTAGAGGGAGCGTTGCGTTGTAGTAGTAGTAGCGTTAGCTTGTAGTCTTCAGCGATGGGCGCAGTAGGTAGCTGTAGTCTCCAGCGCTGGGCGCCATAGCTAGGTAGCACTAGAGAGAGAGAGAGAGAGCTTGGGCGAAGGCCGGAGGTACTTACCTGCAGCGCCGTTGCTCCAGCTTCGTCTTCGAGGTACCTACAGCACAGCGCCACATTCACATGTTAGTATCTGGTTCGTAACAGTGAGAGAGAGAGAGAGTTCTTCTTCCTCCTCTTCTCAGTCCACCATCTTCTTCGTTCCCTCTCCATCTCTGACTTCACTGCATCTGCAGACTATGAGAGAAGAGATACAGAGCTTGGTAACATATGATCCAGACTCGACTTTTGGGGGTTCAGACATAGCAACGAGGGACTATTGGGATTGGTGACCAAGACTTGGTGTTAACGACATTCCCATCTTCCTCCCTCCTTTCGTCTGATCCTTATCTCTTCGTCTGTGTATGTTTGGACCTGGCGCCTTCTTCCTGTGTACAGCGCCAGGCTCCTTCACACTTGGTGAGGGATACGATGCATGTGTAGTCTGAGTTCAAACATGGGTTGGGCTAGATGATAGTATTATAGCCCTCTGCTTCGCTACTTGATTCCTACGTGAATGAGGTCCGTCCCAGTCAGGTCAGTCTTTGTATCAAGTCTTCCCTGCGCTCTTCAGCATCTTTATGTATGAATGAGAATGTACATTGCTGGTCGAGATTCTCGTAACCGCATTGTCTATTCAGTCTTTTTCATCACATTGCAGATTCTCGGTTTATTGCATACATTGCATATATGTGCATGTAACAGTTGGTATAGGAGCTTTTGTACGTGAATCAGGACGATCTGATTTGACACGTGTGCGGGGATCAAAAAGCTAGTTAATCTTTATTGGACCCCAAGATCACGATTTTGACCTCACTACCGAAAATCAATTTTTTTTTCTTTTTCTTGGATTTTACTTTCTCGCTATTCTATAGTGGAAAATCGCAATACCGCAACATCTGAAATTTACATTTTTGTTTTGTTTCTGAAAATTCGAAATTTCGTTGTTGAAAATCCGGAAAATATTTCTTTTTAAAAGTTTCGATTTCCTGTTGCATTTCCCGTTACTTAGAAATTTGGAATATCTTCTTTTCTGAAATTCGTTTTTCTGAAAACAGTACGGGAAATCCCTCCTGCACGTATTATTTCCCAAACTGCGAATATTCCCATCGGAATAAATCCGAATACTTGTCATTTATGTTCGGACCTTTCTCGGAGTTCTTGGATTCTGTCAGTGGGTCTATAAATCGGTTACAGTCCAAAGTCGAAATTTTTTGCTTTCAGTGATCATTTCGAACTTCAAGGGAGGTTGGTAGACCTACCGAACTTGCAAAAATCGGGATTTTTATTTTCTCGAATTTTTTTTTGCAAAGTTCAAACTTTTCACCTTTGATTAGTGGCTCCTTATCTAAGTGTGAGTTGGACAATTATCCCACCCACCCCTCCCAACCCATGTCATTGCCATCTCTTGCCTTATCTGCTCTGTTTGTCCCCGGGTACCCCTTGCGGCAGCATTGGTAAGTTGCCACGTCAGCAGGCCACATCAGCAGACCACGTCAGCAGACCACGTCAGCAGGCTACGTCAGTACGTCAGCAGGCCACGTCCGCAGGCGACGTCTGCAGGACACGTCAGCAGGACATGTCAGCAGGACACGTCAGTATTGCCACGTCAGCAGCAAGGGATACCACATCATCAGGCACCGGTCTGGTCTATGCTGCTGCGTTCACAGACAGCAGTCATGGACCAGAAGGCCGGGGAAACAGACGAGGCCTATCAGGCCCGCATGTTAGCCTGGAGTACCGAGACAAAAAAGCGGGCAGATGACGCTGCCGCAACAGCAAAGAAAAGGGCAGAGGATGCCGAGCAGGCACGCCTGCTGGCGGTTGAATAACAGCGCCAGCATGACGAGGCAGCAGCAAGGGCTGCCGATGACGAAAGAACACAACGTCGTGAGAAGATATTCACCAGAGAGCGGGCGTTACTTACCATGGCAGCAGAATGGCGAACCGAGGCCGAGAATAACCAGTTGGAGGATAGTGCAAACAAGATAGCGCTCCTCCTCTCGCATCTCACGGATCTCCTAGCAACCTACATTACAGAGATCCTTGGTCTCGACAGATCGCTAGCTCACCTCCAAGACCGTTTTCAGCGGTTGGAGCAGCGACCGGCCGCCGCCGCCGGCGCAGGCTCGTCCAATACTGCCGACTGCCTCAGTGCCTTGGAGATGCACGTCGGCTCACTCCAGGATGGCGCACAGTTACAGCTC